CATGGGGTTGTTGTGACCCAAGTGCAGGAACTGGCACTTGGACTTTTTAAACCTCATACAATTGACCTTGCAGTATTTAAAAAATATATATATAAAATTAATATATATTCTATTATAAATGAATATATATTTTAAATTAAGATCTATAAAATTTGATGAGCTATTTTATAACTGTAACATAGAATGAAGGGTCAGTGATTAGTCTTCACACCTGCTAGTATGCATGCATCTATTCTAGAACAGTGCAAAAAAGTAAAAGTAGCCCTTAATTGTAGAATATGTGTTAAAAATCCTTTAGGTTAGCTTGCTTGCTTTGAGGGCTTTTTAACTTTGATTACCTTTCATTTGCATGTTCAAAAAGCAGTCAGCCCAGCTGTGGATGGTAACCTGTTAGCCTTTATTGTATTTCAAGGAAAGGCTATCTGTTGTGGGTTTTTTCATTAAGAGCTGACAAAAATTGTCAATATTTTATACCATAGCAAGAGTAAATTCTTCATCTAACTAAAACACGTTTATTGCAAGAAAACAGTTGTGGGGTTTTCTTTTTTGTTCTTTTAGGTAGCAGAATATACTGTTTTGGAAGAACAACTTCAGAAAACCCTGAGAGATCTAGATAAACGAGAACGACAGCTTTTTAGTGCTGAATCAGAGGTAAAAAGTGGTTTATCATTTTAACCAATGCAATTGCATGAGCTATTTCTGTAAGGCTTGTTGAGTTTTCATATAGACAATTGTGACCTGTGGGTAAGAACTGAAATAGCCACGTTCATACTGATACATAGAGGAGCATTAATATCTTAAGCCAAGTTTAGTTACAGCAACACTTTTTTACTGAAATGGAAATTCAGTGAACTTTTAAATGGGCTGCTAGAATTACAGAACTATAAATTTTCTGTTTTTAACAGAATTAGTGTCAGTGGAAATATTCATATGATTAGCATATCTCTGTTTTAAGCTTAGTACTGTCAGTGAACGCTGTTTACAAGAGTGCCTTACTTCAAATAGAAATTGCTAGATTAACCATTGAAATAGGAGAAGATGACAAGGAGAGCTGAGAGAAACTGCAATTGGTGAGGTTCTGGTATCCAGCAATTTGATAGAGTTCCTATTTTGTTTGGGTTTTTTATAGTGACAGGGCAAAAGAAGATGTGGAAGGAAACATTAGCTACCACTGTTTCTAGATCTCACTGAACACCCCCAAGGTAAGGAAATGGGGTGTGAGTCCTCGGGGAAGCTAGTCATATGGAAAGAGAAAGAAAGAATCTAAACTGCCTACTCTTGTACTTCAGAGCAAACTCACAATTATATAGGTAAACATCTGTGGTGATTTAGCAGTCCAAACTCTTTCCTCATGTAGCTCAGATTAATCTTTTTATCATATCAGTCCCTCCTGAGCTTGTGAACAAGTTAAGAAAGCTCCTAACACAGACTGGCTGGTTGAGCCTGTGTCCTGTTCTGTACTCTGGCTGCCTAAACCCCTCAAGATGCAGTTTGTACTGAAAATAGTGTCTGACTTTACCTTTAATATTTATGCAAAAGATCTAGTGGTTAGGTTTGGCTGAATGCACTTCAGTCTGAATTAAAAGGATTTATTTTAATTCTTATACATGTTTTTTTCAAAAGTTGCTCTAAATTTAGTGAGATTCTGACCTGAGGGTTTAGAGGTAATAGAAATCAGTGGATTCCAAAAGCATCTAGACAAAATGATGTAGGGTTCATTTAGTAATTACACAGTTTGAGCAATAGGCCATTTGGAGAGGTTTCTATTCAGCTAGCAGTTATCTGGGCCAGTAACATCTTTCTAGAAAGTTCAAACGTGTCAAGAACTGCTTTCCTATTCAGCTCAGTGAGAAATTCTCAATATGCTCAGTTTGAAGGGTACAATCTTACTGATCTAAAGACATTGGGCTGTAGCTACGACTTCACTGTTTCTGCAGTGAAGGGATCTATTTAGTATTTTAGTTTGTAGTAGAAAGGTGGCTATAAAATTTGGCTTTAGCAATCCAGTGTAGAAACTACAGTAGAGATAGATACCTCCATTTTTACAATAGTCAAGAGTGTATTTGTAGCACAAATACAGTAATTTGCAGGTGATTAGTTAAACTGAAAGCCAATAGAAGATTATATAGCAAACATATAGATAACAATGGAATTTCTATTGTTCAATTTCTAAAATGGATAACAATTTTTTTCTGTTAAGGTATTTTCTTTCAACTGTTACTACTGTTAATAAAACAAAGCTTTTGCACCTGTGGATTAATGTAAATATGTCTCACTCTCAAGCTTCAAAGAGTAAAGAAGGAATTGCAAGCAGAGCATGAACGAAATCTGCAGGAGCTCCAGGATTCTGTGCGGCGAGCCAGAGAAGAATGTGCACACCAGGTTGAGCTAGAAAGGTCAAAAATCAAACAGCTGGAAGAAGACAAGCTTCGCTTACAGCAGCAGGTAAGTATGCTTAAATTTTCCACCTCAACTATTTACTTAAGTAAGCATTTTTTAAAATAAGTATACCAAATTGACCAATGGTTTTGAGGCAAGTGCATTCTGGCAACTTTGTAATAAATGTTTTATCTCCATTGTTCAGTGAGCTATGGGGTGGGGTCCGTCTCTGTCAGCCTCGCTCGGTAGTAGGGCCAGGTTGCGATGCAGTGGTTATAATTTTTTAACACTGAAAATGAAGCTGCAATTACAAGCATACCTTGCGTGTAGAACCTGAACAGCAGTATACACTTCAGTTACTTAATAAATTGTTAGCAATTAACATCTAGGTAGCTTGACTAGACACTTCATTTTATTCTCCCATAGCACAAAAGTATTTCTCTTACCCTTATTGGGCAGGGGTGAGGGGGGAATTATCTTGTTACTGTGATCTATTATGGAAGTAGTAGTTTCATTAAACAGAGAAAATTTAGACCACATTCTTTTGTCCTGTAAACTGTCTTTTGCACTGATGGCAAGGCTAGTCTAGCTATTTTTCTTGACTGTTAAGGCATACTGTAAAATTTTAAAGGTTAATACTAGCTTTTTTGAGCAGTTACAATATTAAATGTTTAGTTTGTTATGTAGATTAAATCTTAGTAATGTGTAAGTGTTTTTCAAAGTACTTCGCTTACGTAGATAAATTACTTTGGTAGTTTTCAGTTCTGATACATGATAGTGATAATAGCACAATAGCTTTGAATAACTGAAGAACTCTATCAGCCAAAGGCATATTTTTGTTAGAAAGAGTTGTGCTGGGGTTTTGTGGGTTTTTTAGTTGAATATCAAACACTGATATTAACCTCCTTTTCACATCAGCATATGTTGACCACAGTACAGTAAACTTTTTAAGTATAGCTAATACAAAAAACACTGCTAATCTGGAAGATGCTAATCTTGGCCATTCTACTGAACAATCACTGAACTGAGATGAGCCATTTCAAACTGCAGAATACAATCCACTTCAAAGTTAAAAGTGGATCACTTCTGCATCATAGATGTGTTGTTGGCAGCTACCAGTGCTGTATTAGTCTGGACAAGATAGCCAATAGTTCTTCAGGCGCAAGCAGCCAAATGCTACCGTCTGAGTAGTCTTCCAAATTCATTCTTTTGACTCCCACCAGCTTTTTTTTTTAGCTAGGTTGCAATACCATCACAATCACTTTATTTTTCCTCCTTGGAATGGATGTACTGTGTCGGACCAAAGATCCAGTTAGATCAGCATGCATTTAGAGGGCAGGAAAATAAGGAATGAGACAATGAGAAAATACAATTTTGATGTATCCAGCAATACCATCAAGAGTTACACATACCCTCAGCCAGAGGCAGCATTTCATATTTACTAGCCATCAGTGAAAGTATTTTTCATGAACTCATCTGATCCCTTTTAAAAAGTATTTCTATCTTTAGCATTGCAACATCCTGTGGCAGTGAGTTTAAAACTTAATTGCGTTGTATATTTGAGAACTTTTTGTTCATTGTAAGCTCCTTGCTTGATAATTACGAAGAATACCTCAGTGCCTGTGTTACATACTGTTCCTGATTGCTTAGGTGTCTGTCATAACTGTCTTTCTCTTCCAAACACAAGCCCTGCTATGTTTTGTTGCTTTGTATGAAGGAGTTTCCTTCCAGCTGATCATCCTGGTTGTCTTTTGCTGTGCTGTTCCTGCTATTTTGAATCTGTCATGCTTCAATATGAGGTGGTTGTTACTGTGTATTCTGCATAAGACAAGCTTTTTTGTTTTGCTTTGAGAGGGGAGTGAGTTTTTGTTTGCTTGCTTTGGAGTCTTACTGTAGGATGGTTCCCTTCGATGTGCACAAGTAGAAAATTCCTGTTGCTACCAGTTCTGATGGGCCTCTTTTTTACCTTTTTGGGTGTGAGGTTTTTGTTTGTGTGTTTTTATTTAACAAGGAGTGATCTGGAGTAAATTATAATAGTTCTAAACAATAGACTTTTAATTAGAATCATAGAGCAGTTTCAGTTGGAAGAGACCTTCAAGATCAAGTCCAACCTTTGTCCCAGCTCTACCCACACCACTCAACCATGTCCCCAGGTACAACATCTACCTGTCTCTTAAACACCTCCAAGGTTCGTGACTCCTGGGCAGGCTGATCCAATGCCTGACAACCCTCTCAGTAAAGAAATTCTTCCTAATATCCAGCCCAAACCTCCCCTGGTGCAGCTTAAGGCCATTTCCCCTTGTTCTGTCACTTGTTACTAGGGAGAACAGACTGACCCCCGCCTCGCTACAACTTCCTTTCAGGTAGTTGTCGAGAGCGATAAGGTCTCCCCTCAGCCTTCTCTTCTCCAGGCTGAGCAGCCCCAGACCCCTTAGCTGCTACTCATACAAGACATGCTCCAAATCCTTTACTAGCTTGGTAGCCCGCCTCTGCACACTCTCCAGCGCCTCAATGTCCTTCTTGTAGAGAGGGGCCTAAAACTGCACACAGGATTTGAGGTGCAGCCTCACCAAAGCCAAGTACAGGGGCACGATCACCTCCCTACTCCTGCTGGCCACACTATTCTTGATACAGGCCAGGATGCTGTTGGCCTTCTTGGCCACCTGGGCACACTGCTGGCTCATGTTCAGCTGGCTGTCAACCAGCACCCCTAGGTCCCTCTCTGCCTGGCAGCTCTCCAGCCACTCCTCCCCAGGCCTGTAGCGCTGGTGGGGGTTGTTGTGGCCAAAGTGCAGGACCCAGCACTTGGCCTTATTGAAATGCATGGACTTGGCTTTGGCCCAGTGATCCAGCCTGTGACCCAGCAATCCAGCCTATAACTTATTCTTCACCTTTGAAGGAGATGTATAAATTCACAATTTCTACACTTGAATGGTAGAGTTCTCTAAATGTCTGTTGTTTGGAAGTAAGCCCCACTATGTGCAAGAGAAGGTCCTTGAAGTATCCGCCTCGAAGAACATCATTCTTACTTCCTGAATGGGGAAGCTATGCTTTGTGTGATTTGTGCAGTTTCCTAACAGTCCACAACCCGAGGTCTTAGGAAAAAATCTGGTTTTGAAAGTGGGTTTGGAACCAAACAAGAAATTAAACATCATTGAAGAAGTTCTAGGAAGAGCTGGCATTTTTCATAGCTGAAGAAATTAGTTACTGTCTCTGTCATCAGCATCATGTCTGTATGTCTGCTTTAAAGTTGGTAAAAATGGAAAAGTGACAAACAATAGTATCTCTTGTCAAAGTTGGCTATTGTGGTTATATGTGAAAACTAACTGCAGTGAACTACTTTTTTGTATGGCTCCTTAGGAAGTCTTTGCTTTTTTACATCCAATTCTGTAAAAATGCAAAAAGTGACATTTTGGAAGAAAAATAGAGGTGACCAATTAGGAGATCCAAAGAATTATAATATTGATGTACTAATAGAAGAAGTTGTAGAAAATTATCTGAAATGAAGTTGTAGAAATGAATTCTCTGAAGCATTTTTTACACAGTATTCTAAATTGTTGGATACAATTCGTGGGAATACTTGCATTAACTAGTTGCACATAAATACAAATGCAGCATTTAGGATCATATTATGTGCTATTCCATATTCCATTAGGTGTATTAACATATTTATAGTTGAATAATATTTAACAGAAGAAGCATGTAAGCTGCTCTAGGGAAACATCTTATAAAAAAAATTTAATATTTTTAATGTGGTGTAATGAAAAAAGCTGTTAAACAATTGACTTCGTTTCTTTGTAGGAAACTAATTGTGTGTTGGCATTATTTTCCAAATTACCTGTTTTAAGATGAAAAGCAAAGCTCTCTGTTTATAAAATCTCCATGAAACTGTGTAAGTACACAGTAAGGGCAGAGGTACACAGTGTGAAGGCAATAGTCACTGAAGTCTGTGTACTTCAGCCTTTCTTCTAAATTGTTATTTGGCTGTGCCAAGTACTAGTAGTTTCCTCTTCCAGACGTTCCTAAACAAGTTATGCTGGGGAAACTAAGTAATAAAACTTCATACAGTAGATGACACTGTTGGCTTTCTTTAAAAAATGTGTGTAAATCTAAATAGCTTTGTTTTCTGTGTTTCTTCTGCAAGTCATGTTAGAAATGTGAACAGCAATGTTTATAAATCTTCATCTTCTGTGTATGATAGGCTTGTTTTTTCTTTCCAGTACCAAGCAAAGATCCTCTTTAAAATTCTTCCTATTAAAACATTGCTGTATACCATCATCAAGAAATCATTAATTATAAATGTGCAGCTTTCAGTGTCTGTTTTATATCAGATAATTGACAGATGTTTGTTCCTGGGACTAAGCAGTAGCTTAAGTTTTATAACCTAATTCTTTGTCTGTGAGTGGGTTTTTATGCTAACTTACATTATATCTTGATATCTTAATGTAGCTTTATGAAGCAGAAAATAAGCATAAAATTTTGGAGAAGGAGTTCCAGCAATACAAAGAACAGCAAAGTAGCAAACCAGAAATCCAGCTGCAATCGGAAATAAATCTTCTCACTTTAGAAAAGGTATCCTAAACTTTTCAAGTCTTAAACTGTCACAATGGTCCATTCACTGATAGAGGAGATGTAGAATAATCTTCTATGATGAACTGGTTAATTTGTCCTTTTTTTATACTCTTTTCAACAATTTCTTCAGACTTGAAATAATCAGACACAAAGTCAACAGTGACCTTATTTCTATAGAGGAAGCAGTAGTGTTAGAGGCTAAGGCAAAAAAAAACTAACCTGAATATTTAAATTCGTACCATCATGATTTATGCTGGGGACTCTGAGCATTGTATTTGTAAAATAAAGAAGATTTTCTTACAAGTATTAATTTAGACTGGTATTCCATTATGTGCATTGGTTTTTTTATTAAGCATTTCTGAAGAGATATTGTGTTACTTACCAGTGGAATGGAATCACTGTCATAAGTTGATTTCTTAAAAACGATACATGCCTTCAGTAGAGGATATTTTGCTTAATTAAAACCATAGATACAGGCTTAGAATTACTGTGAAGTTTGAGTCAAATTGTTGACAGAGTAAGCTCCAAAAAAATTGAACTAGGCTCCTCAGCACAAAATGCAGTCACAGTTATATGGCCAGACTGCATGTTACTGTATGCTTGAATAACTTGTAATAGTGCAAGCAAATGGTTCAAAATATATTTCTGTCTCAAAACTTTTAAAATTCTTAGCTTAAATACTTTTAACTTCCTATTTTTGTTAGATTTTAAAAAAAATCAGTGCTTTAAGATCTTCACAAATCTAATACTAAATTTTTGTCTGATTAAAAGAAAATGTCAGTGCCTCAGTTGTTAGTTAAAAATGCTTAATTTTCAGGTTACTGTGTTCTGTGTGCTTCATACTAGTTTTAATTGCCTTTTAATACTAGGCGTTTTTTTACACCGAATGCAAGGAATTGTCTATGTATGTAACATCTTTTTAAGATTCATTTGAACGGAGATCAAAGATTCACAGAAAATACATAGGTTTTAAAGAATGGTTTGAACAGATGTGTATTTTAGTGAATAGAATGTAGCACACATCTTCCATCAGCTGTAGGAAAGAAAAGTTGCACGCCTTTTAAAGACAAGATTTATCTATCTGTTTCTGTTAAATTAGTGTTTATAATCTTACTTTGAGAAAAAAAAGGGAGGGTTGCTAATTTGAAGATCTTAAATTTAAAGGTTACATGAGCAGATTTAGTGCTAAAAACTAATCTTTTTCTTTTTGTATAGACAGCTATCCAATAAAAATAAGGCTATATTTTAAACAAGAAAATGTTCATGTGCCATAATATTTATGTTACGTTATATAACAGCTTTAGATGATGTTGTATGTTACATTACATAAACACTTTTCTTAAACCAGACCTTTTGTATATATACATCTTTCAGTGATTGTTACTGCTGTTATTGCTTGAGCTGATATGATTTTAATTGCTTTTAGGTTGAATTTGAAAGAAAGCTAGAGTCAGCTACCAAGTCAAAGCTCCACTACAAACAACAGTGGACCAGGGCTTTGAAAGAGCTTGCAAGGTTGAAACAGGTATGCAAGTTTTCTTTTCTCATACGAGACAACCAGGTTAATATAGTGTTGGAAGCTACTTATAATTACTGTTAGCTGCTGGCAGTTTTCGTTTTATTAGAGTTTGTCTTAGCAAAATTAAAGCTCTGAGCTACTCTTACAAAAATGAGAACAGCAAAACTCTTCTGAGTTTGACATTGAACTCAGGAAAGACCAAGGCTCAGGTCTGCAAGGATGGCTGACATAGCTAAAAGCAGTCATGATTCAAAAAAGTAAATTTTTGTTAATCCCGTTCCCAATAATGCTCAGGCAGCACTTCCAGAGAAAATATTTTGTCCCTGTCCCAACCATCTTGGTCTGTTGCAGTCCTAGATGTTCTGTATTTTAATTGTAAAATGAATGAAGAGTAAAGATGAGAAACATATCTTAGCTTTTAGAAACAATGGCTTAATGTTTGCTGAATGCTGTAAACCAAAGTAAACTTACATAAGATTTAAACTGGAAGTGAAACTTTCTCCTGCTTTTGGGAATCCTAAGCTCATACTAATGTGCCATGCTTTTTACTGCTGTGGTTTTTTTTACTGTCCGTGCTGTGCAGAGCTCTTCTGTGTGTGTACATAGTCACACACAGCTGACTTCAAAACACTCTAATCAAACTTGCAAGAGGAGCAGCTTCATCCTCACTGAATCAACATGCATCTATGTCATTTTTGTCATTGCCTATCTTTCATGAATTACAGTAAACATTAGCTAAACAGTATACTTAAGAATGGGAAGCATTTCCACTGGCCTTGACAAACAAATTAGTAAATCATTAATCTTGGTTGCTGAATAAGCCTTGACATAGACATAAAGCTTCAGAATTCAAGTTTATTGAAAGGTTTTTATTAACCTGTATTCACACCTACTTCCTGCTTGAGGAAGAGTGTTTTTTTTTTTCCAAGGATTATAGTTCCTACTTCATTCCTACTGCTAGAGTACTCAATTTTTGGAGAGTAAGAAGCTAAACCCTTCCTCCCCTAATTGATAATTAGCTTTTTTAATCTGTATTTATCTTTGAAGAGAGTAAGTATGCTGTATAATCACTATTAATAATTAAATTTATCTGTCTTCAAATTGGTCCTTTTTTTTCTTAGTGATAAAAGGAATCGTGAGTTCTCACCTCCAATTTCTGAAACATCTATGCTTGAGTAGCGTATCATCACTATCAGGTCTTTTATTATAAATTTCATAACCATAGAACTGATGGTCTGAATGTAGTAACATATGTAGATGGTGTCAGCTGACCCTCTTGCTGAAAGTCTGAACCATAAAATAAATTGGCGTGTTCAGTGAATTACACTACCTAAAATTTTTCTACTACAGAACAAACCCTTTTAGTTTCTTGTGGCTTTTATATTCCTGTGCTTAATCTTTCACTTAAATCCTTTGTCAATAAGGCTAAGTATCTTTAGAGAGCCAAATAAAAGTTGAAGCAGAGCTGATCAAAAACCATTTACTGTGTTTTAAATATAAATTTGGAAACTGTTGCTTCAGGAATTCTAGATTTGCTTTAGTTCAGATGATTTGTGCAATTGTGCGTAGTTTGACCAATTTCTTGTTTAAATTGGATTAGTACCATGTTAATTTTGCATTGCCTCTGGTGAATAGCCACAGGGCTGTAATCCGTGCCAGTAATTTGTCACACCAAAGCTCTCTAGAGAGCTATACAAAACATTTGTGTAGTGAGGATTAGACGCTGAAAGCCATATCTTAGATTGTTAATAAATGTTAATGACAAAGCCCAGCTGGTAAGTCTTGGAAATGAGATCTAATGCTTTGTGCCCATTGCCAAAAAAATGTTTAAACAGAGATTTCCATTACTCAAAGGTGACCTAGTACAGTCAATTTGTGAATTAAAGAAGCATAATCTACAGGCTAAGCATTTAGTAAAAAGCCCTTATGATTTGCAACCATAAAAGTCAATGTTTCCTTAATTAAAAAGTTTCCTTTTACTTTGGAACTAGTTCTTAGCATACATCTGTGATGGTTTTATGGTTTGCAGAATATGAAATATGCAGTACATAACTTAGAAAAGTATGGGCCTGTTAACAGAAAATGCTCTAAACTTCTCCATGTCTAGGATTTTGAATGCTAAACACAGTGCCAGTGGTAACCAAAAAAAGATCTGAAGTACATGAAGACACACATACATCATACGTACCTGTGCTTAACAAAACACAGAAGTTAGTTGAGTTTAAACACAGTTTGTAAAGCTGAGAGAAAATAGACTTCACCCAGTTTACTTTGCTTGCCTCTTTGTTACTTGGTGCAAGTCTCTATTAATACTTCATTTATTATACCTTGTTCAGCTTTAGGAGGACAAAAATGTCAACAAGTTAGCTACTGAGAGATCTACAGTACTACAAAAATGAGACTTACATAGTTTTTACATATGTATTTTTTCTGAGGTCAAATTTGCACGCAATTGACACAAAATTGTGTACATGCTTATGGAGATCTTAGATGCTAAATTCAGTACCTGTCTGAGTGCAAGAAACATGTATCAAAACAAAAATCAAAGCTGGCAGAAGTGTAACTTTCATCAGTTGAAGATCTCTGTTCGAATCTAGAAACCCAAAATCTCAATGTACCTGCATATATTATTCAGTGTTCTGGGAGAAATATTTTTTAGGACTTGTAATGTGTTTGTGTCCTATAGATCTGTTAAAAACAGCACTGCTATGTCTGTTTGAAACAACATAGACCATATTGGCTAGCTGACATTCACTCTGTCTTGTCCAGTGTCTTGCTTATCCACTCACTAATTAAATTGATTAATTTATAAGTAATTTAGCCAAGAATGGGATGTAAATCTTTGTTTAAAAAAAAGCACCAAAAAAAAGTGGAGATCCAAGTCTTGGTTAAAAACTGTGTCTTGAAATCATCCAGGCCCTCCTACTGAGTTGTCAGCTCTGGGTTATTTTCAGAAAACTTTACTTGAGTTCCTTAGCTTCAATAGTAAGTTTTTCCCACAGACTTGCATGGTATGTGTGAGTGGGGGAGTGAATAGTGGCTGCTATTTAGCCATTGTTTAGTCTAGTGTATGTATGTTTACATCTCCCTTTTGGATTTATAGGCAGCTATGGCAAAATAAAGATTGTGCTTCCTTGATTGAAGAGCCTCTTAACTAGAGCACCTGGTGGCATACAGGGATTCTTTTATGATCTGATTATAATTGAAATTTTGAGCGGTTTGTATGACTTAATTTTTATTTAATGCTGATATTCCTGTGGTGCCATAGGTTTCAAAACATGATTGAAATTCACACCATGCAAGCTCCTAAGACAGTGTTCCATGTCTCAAGCACTGTGTTAGAGATGCAAACTAATGAAAAGTAGCAAAACGTTGAAGTAAATGATCTGATAGCTAGCATGTGCTTTGTTTGTATTGGATTTGTTTTGTTTATGGGGATGTAAGAGGAGGATGGCAAAATACCAAATTAGTAAGAGAAAGAAATATTGGTGATAAATTTTGCTAGGGAGAAAAGGGAAGAAAATGAGCAAAGGGGGTGGCATGACTAGGAGTTCTGAGAAAGCAGTGGAAGAGGAGGTACCTGGACCAACTAAGTGTATTGCAAAAGTAATCTTCGGAGTAATTTACATGTGATACTCTTGGTTTGTCTGTGGCCTCGCTATGGGATAGTGGCTGATGGTAATTAGGTGATGATGCAAGAAAAAAGTTTCCAAGTGTTCTGAGTTTTTCTAGTGGGTCTTTTCTATCTACAAAGTTGCTTTTAGTCTAGCAGCAGATGACTTTGAAGTATTCCCTTACCAGAAATTTTAAAATGCGAAATTCTGAAAGTTTTAAAGTTCTTACAGTTCTTACTGAGGCTTAAAACAGCACAGTAAGCAGTTGGGAGTAAATCAAATGGTCCTTATTTCAGGGTATACTATAGAGGCATATTCTCTGGGGAAATGTAAAGTATGTCAGAGTCTTGACTGAGAATTTTAAGCGTGTGATTATGTATATGAACTTGTGTGCACTGGGTTACACTTAATAGATACTTTGTATTCAATTATAACTTAGTTTTTAAGTACACACAATAAAAGGAAGATGTTACAAATGAGTTTAGAAATGCTAGACTTTGCTTTATTAGTACTGTAAATGTACAAAAGTATTTTATTAATACTGGTTTTCACTTTGCAAGATCTTGCAGTAAATTCTGCTACCTTTCAAGTACTACTACGTAGTAGAGATTGACTCCTGGTTTTAAAAAAGTGCTTGTTGCCCAATGGATTGTTAAACTGATTGAAAAAGTCAATTTAATACCTGAATGTCTCTGATAGTGGCACCAATTTCATCAGTGTGATGAATAAGAAATCCTTTCTTCTCTGTCATCATAACAAATGACAGTCTTTTTTATAGTTCCTCAACATATCATAATAAAAATGTATATAAACTAATTCAAAATCAGCATGCCTCACTTCTTTTCAACAACTGTTACAAATTCTTTGACAACATTTTATATTGGTATATTATTAGGAAATGGGTTTCTATTGCTCTGCTGTGAATGGTGTACATAGACCAAGTTCGCTGTTATGCACCCTACAAATTGTTATGACAGACTTTTGAAGAAATCAAAGACTAATGTTGGCAAAGATGTTTGAAAATCACAAAGTACAAAGTGTGTAACTTAAATTACACACAGGATCCATCACAAATTAATCTGGAAAATCCCTTCTCAGTTGTTTCATGTCTTTTTTCCAAGTTGGACTGTCTTCAACTGAATTCTAGGGAGATCTTGCCTCAGAAAATGTTGGGGTTTTTTAATTTTAATGTTACTGTGCTTAAATGTTGTAATTCAGAGGCATGGCATGCTACAGAAATTCTTGACTTTCACTTTTACAGCATTAAAATTAATCTTGTCTTTTTCTTCACCCCTCCCAAACAAGGAAATGCCAAATATTTGTCATGTTTACATTACAGTTGTGTTAGTAATAAAATGAAATTTCTAATCACATTTATCTGAAAGGAAGTCCTACCCAACATTAACTTAGAGACAAAATGTACTGATGAGAGTGTTTTTCTTCTCTGGAGAAAAGAAGAATTTAGCACTCTTTATATTCAAACTTGCTTTCCTACAAACCTAGGGGTACTGTCCTAAGCAACAAGCATGCTCACTTAGTGATACTTTTTTTTAATAACTTTTTTCCGTAGACATTTTTCACAAAAAATCATAAAGAAGGGACAGTAACTGAACAAAGAATTCTTCAGGAAAGCCTTGCTTCTCCTACATCTCTCCTTGGCTCTTGCATCATTCTCTTTTGTCCTTTTCTTGGTTTTATTAAATATCGCTAAAGATGTTTCTTAATCGGAAAAAAATACAGTTCTGAAACTAACTAGTTCAGTGAGGGCATAGAGAACCAAGGTATTAAATGAGATCCCTTCTGATCAATAGGAACGCATCAGGAATACTCTGTCATCTTCCTGGTCTGATTGAGCTTTGGACTTTGTTCTGTTAACCTTCAGTATATGTACTTCATCTAATGTATCCTTTGAGATTGTTTAAAATTTTTTCCTATCAGATTGATATTGTGAGCATGTTGCTGGACAGCAGAAACCTCTGGATCACTGAACTTTCCTGCCTCAAATAGTAATGTATCAACTTGTCATGAAACTTGTAGTCCCACATGCTTCTTATGGCCAGCGCACAGTTATCTTTCCTCTAAAGCTGCAACTGTAAGAACACTTTCTAAATATTCCGCTACAGGTCTGAGTAATACACTCCACAAACTGAAGGACTGGATTAGAAGACTTCTGTTTGGTGTAGTCACAGCTATTTGATTTGTGTGTGTTCTGTGTCTCACTATAATCTGTTTCATTAGTACGCAGGGATGTTGCTGACGTTAGTCTTGCTGTCCTACTGTTTTACATTAGTTTTCCACTATTAGTTTTTGGATGGTGTTTGCCCAACATGCCTTCAAAAGAATTCTTCTGTAGAATTACTGAGATACACAAATTTGACAGACTTACATTAATACCCCAGCTTCCTATGACAGTAGTCCTAGTTTTAAATGGGACAATTAGAGCATGAATAAACTGAACTGCAGAGCAAGGAGGTGTTTTTCCAAAGTTAATCCTTTCCTCACCACCTGCAACAGTGCATTCGACTGAAGCTAAGGTATCTACAGATCAGCATAGGTAGAAAGGCTGGAAAAGGAGATAATGACAGAAGTCCTCTCTTCTGTAAAAGATTAGATTTTTGACATCATCTGAGGGGAAGACGACAGCTTCATCCTCCACAGGATGTGGAGTAATGCAGGGTCTTTACCTTCAGATGAGAATGTAAATTTCATTCTTATATTATTGTGTGGCCTCCAAGACTTACTGCTGTTAGATAATGTCAATAGGAAAATCATATTGTACTGGGCAAATTAATTTCAAAACTGGAACTTGGATATGCAGGCTGTACTGTATCTACTACAGGGTTATGTATAGCAAGCTTCTTTAGACTTGTTGTTTGATAAGGAAAAGTAGCTGGTCACCAGACTGAATTACTGGATTCTTTATCTGTAGGGACAGACAAGTAGAAAGAAATTTCTAGACTTACTCTACATATACAGGGCAACAATTACTCTCCTGAGGCTAAATGGAACTTTACAAAGGAGATTTAACATACTTGAAATCTTAGGTCTCATGTTTACCTGGAGGTATTAATTTCAACTGAAACACAGCGATAATTTTAACTTCATTTTGAAAAGGTTTTAACTTGGGAGATTGAATGAAAGCACAAAGAATAGTGATGGTCACAAAAAGAACTAAGTATTAGTATGTCCCCATACTTCTAGATGTTGGGTAATTGAGATTATCAGATTAGCTGTCTATTTATTTACTTGCACTGTAAGTTGTGCTGTTTGTATACCAATCTGTTGGAGAATAGATCATGCTCAGAATTTTATCTTGATACCTGCATTTAGCAAAGCGAACAACTGAAGAGAAGTATAACTGTCAAAATAGGTAATTCCTTTCCTCCTCATAGCCCACTGTATACTTGAAACTTGGCTTTACTGTCTGAAGGCTGTTCAGACTGTCTGAATCCAGATATTTGGAAACCATTGTGAGATTCACTGGGACTTTACTGGAGAAAAAAGCACCCTCTGTCTTTTCTCTGTTAAGTACATCAACAGTAATGCTTGATATGTAGCTTTTTTAAAATACAAATGTCTGTCTTAATTCAAAACATTCCATGATTAAGAAGCTCCTAACATTGGAGCTTGGTTAATTTCCTCTGTTTAATAACTTGAGTCACCTGTCTAGTTGGAATTTATCTAGTTTTGACTTTCAGCCAGTGCTTTTCATTGGGTGGAAAAAAAAATAACTAGCTAACTGATGTGAAATATCAGTCTAGCCCATATAGTGGCCAGCAGTAAATGCACAAGATCTGGAAACCCAGCTTGTATATCTTTCAATATTCTCCAGCTACCCTCAGTCAATTAGTTAAGTACATCATGAGCCAGCGGTTGCATTCAGGCCGTCATGTTAAACAGGCATTAATGAATGTATTCTTAATTTATCTGTTTCCTTTTCAAACTAATTCATATTTTCACATCCCACTCTTTCACATCCACTTTTTCCACACTGAAAAGTTTGCATCAGCAGCAAACTTTTTATTCCAGAGGGAATTCCTCATTTATGGATGTATCAGAGAGTACATTCTTATGGAGTCCACTGTTACCTTCTTGCTATTGTGGAAATGATCAATTGTTATCCTTTCTCTGGTCTTTGAAACCCTGAGTAATCTGAGAAGACTTTCTCTGTGACAGCTTGGTTGTAGGTGGTTTCTTTGGTATGGTGTTGTTGGTTTCAGTTTTTTTTAAGTCTCATTGTAAGTGTACCCATTCATCCTGTTATTTTTGGTTTTAGTTATGGTTTCAACCAATTTGGCTACTGTGGAAGTAAGACCTACTGGTAGTCCCTGGATATTTCTAAGGCCTATGTTTAAAGAAAGAATAGAAGAAAAAATGGGGAAATAATTATTCTTGTGGTGGCAGCACCAATTTTAGTGATGGATTACACCTCCAGTTAGTTTTGCGACTTTGTGTTTGAATTTCTGTAGAACTCTTGAAAACTCTTGGATAAATATCAGCTGGCTGTAGTGTTTCCTATATGTATTTGTAGATTCCTGTTCTAAAACCTAGTCTACTTCAGTCTGAGACTGTTCTTTGAACCTGTCCCTGTAAAAAAGGGTGACTCCCATTGGAATGTTCTTCAATGAACTCTTGATGGGGAAGGAAGGACTATGGCCTTACCTTTGAGTGCTTTTTTATGCTTTAGTCGTCTATCAGCTATAGACTCTTTGGCAGGATTCCTGCTTCTGGCTTTGTTATTAGTATGTATCTTCAGGCTTTCTGGCCTGTCTCACTGCCATTCTCATGTCTTTCACCTGGGTGGTGTATTGGATTTAGGATAAAATAAAGTATTTTGGGGTTACATATATGCTATGATTTCTTGTCAAGTACTTCTCTGTTGCATTACCTGTTCACATTAACAATTGGAGTCTTTGTTTATACCAATTGCTTGTGAAATTCAGATTTTCTTATCACTTGTTGATCATCAACAGGGAGTGCTTAAGATGCTGGGAACTGAGATTCAGGAAACTGCCTGACTAAACTCTTCCAAATATTATTAGGTTGACTGCGTCATGAGTGCTCTCACACATATCAAACAAAATTACCTTTTTTACCACTACAATAAATATAAAGCTGATTGTATTAACAATCAAATACTTAAGATGAAAGCAATGTCAAAATTACAAAGGTCATCTTGCACTTCACAATATGTCTAGGTGCAGGATGTTTGTGTAACCTCATGCCTTATTTTTAACTAGAGGAAGAAATGCCATTTTACCTCGGGTCTTCTGTCTCATTCAGACTGTAAGACTGACTGTATTGAGTTAGTGCACAAGGTCATGTGGAAAATGACTGGGAGGAAAATAAGTGGAGAGGACCGTGCTTCTTGTTGAGACACTTTAATATAACAAAGTGGTGATGGACTCAAACCCTAGTTTTGTAACAGTGTCTGTGTAGAGCTTAAAAAAAAAATAGAACTAAGTGAACTTTTAAAATGGATAGATTAATTGGATTAAATCCACAGAATAAGTTATCTAAGGTTTCACATAGAGCTAGGCAAATGTAAAAGGAAATCGCACTGGAGTTTTGTTTTCAAGGCTTATTTTTCAATTCCCCACATTGGAATTTCAAAAGTAGTTCTTGAAGCTTTGACACTAGGCACTGTGGGGCTGATAATGGATGTTTTCCTGCAGCTATTTAGCTTTTTTCTGTTTTTTATTTTTCAAAAATGTTGTAATTTAAAATACTATGTAGTGAAGAAATAAATCTCAGTATCTTGAGCAGTTCCACAAGTATAAGTTTTATGTTTACCATATGAGCTTATGTTAACCCAGAGTTTGTAAAAGGGTTTGTAACATTTTTGCTATTTTGCTAGTTGGAAGATATCAGCTGATCCAGCCTGGACAGGTTTACTGCAGTTGTGATAGTCATACTGCATTATAGATATCAACAGCTGAGACATTCTGTTTAACTCTGCTTTTCTGGAGTTATTCTGGAGACTTCATTGTCATGACTTCATTTCTGAAGTTTTGCTCATGTCACTATAATTGGGACTCTTACATGTAATCACGTAGTCAACGGAGTTTGTCTTCACCCCTTCCCACATTAGCGTGAACAAGAAAATGCAATGGCTCACCTTAAAAAGCAGCAACAAGAGCTGGAGCACATGAGGTTGCGCTATTTGGCAGCAGAAGAAAAAGAGCTGGGGAAAACAGACCGACAAGAGCTGGAGGATATCAGAAATGAACTTAACAGGTATAAAAGCCTTTGTAAGATTTCTTTTCTTTTCGTCCCTCTCCCCTCTGTTTTCTTGCTGTCTGCCTCAAAATAAGAGAAGGTTCAGTTAAATTAAGGTTATAATTGGCTGTCAGTCCGGTGAAAGAACATAGTTTAGTGTCCCTTAGGTAAAGATTGCACACTTAGAAAATGCAGCAGTACTGCAGTATAGAAAATCTATGTTTAATGCCACTGCACCTTGTTTTTTATCTTATGGTCCTAGTTGTACAGCACCAGCGTTTTTTCTCTTTTAAACCTTCAGTCCTAAGGATAAGTGCTGCATTTAAGAAAAGAGGCATGTACTACTCGTATTTAGGACAACCTAATGTTGTCCTCCAAAAACTGTCTGCAGTAGTTCTGTGTGGTGAACCTTTTTAATTTGAGCGCTGTTTGCATTATCAAAATCAGAGCCTTGGTAGCAAGTATTATAGTTACCTATGCATGTAGAAAAGATTTTATTAGAATTTAAATATTATATTACCATTTCTTTTACTTATAGTTGTTCCCTGGAGAGATGACAATTTGTTACCTTCTATAGATTTCTTTATTGCTACAAAGTACTTCAGCAGATAAATCACCTAAAGACTTACTATGAAACTAATCAGGGCAGTTTTTAAGGTGGCTCATCCTCTGATTCTTTCCATTTTGTCAACATCAGGCTAAAGCAACAAGAAGAGAGAAAGCACTTGCAAGATGTTAGGGATAATTCTGCTGTTACAGTGGATGGTCTTCATTCTAGAAAATTAAATGAGAACATGGATGATTATATCTCTCTTCTGATAGAAGAGAGGGATACCCTGTTGAGAACAGGAGTATATAATCATGAAGACCATATTGTAAGTGAACTCGATCGTCAAATTGGAGAAGCTATTGCAAAAAGGAACATCACTTAAAGCATGCAAAAAGTTGATAAAAACAGCTAAAACTTGAACACAGAGTGACTCATTTTTATAAACCTGTACTACTTTGCAAAACATGTAAGGTCATGCTTAATTTTGCACACTACTGTTAGCTATTTTTGAAGTCAATGTAAATATTTGCAACATGTGAATTTAAGCATGGTTGTAAGTTTTACAGGGGCAATGCTGGTTTTTAATGGTTTTGTACTCATATGTATATATGTATAAATATATTTATCGTGTGTACTTCTGAAATGTTTTCTACCTCTTTTTGCATCACCCTAGCTAGGTTTATTTGTAATGTTAGTATTCGTGCTAAAATTTTTGGTCAACATTATCATAATTTCAATTTTTAAAAAGATTTTTTTCAGCTATACTAGGGAAAAGTGACATCAGCTGTTTTCCCTGACAGAACTCTTAATTCTGAACTGAAGTGCAGCACCAACCAAATGTCACTTTTTTACTCAATCACAAGATAATGAATTTTTGCTTTTCCAGCTGTAGCTAACATAACTAAGTTCTGTAGTAAGTAAGAGACAAGGTTTTGGAAGGGGAGGTGGTAAACTCTCAAACCTTACGAAACTGAAACTGAGTCAATTACTAACTAGCCTGATTGTACAGGATAAAGATCCCTTTGTTGCCCTAGCAGTTCTGCACATAGGACTGTAAGGGGGATCCCAGCAGGGTAAAGACCTGGTTCAGAAATATACATGCATTCTTACGTCCATCCCTAATGAGGAAGGATACTTGAAGCACTAATTTAGTGAATTTATACACTTGAAATTCTGTACACATACATAAAACAAGAGCTTTTCTAAGTAAAGATGTTTTCCTTAAGACCTAACCACTTTGTAGTTACTTAACATATATTTTAAAGTATGTTATCTCATTACCACTTAAATTATATGTAAGGTTTTCTTTGATTGTGGAAGTATCAATAGGACACTGTCTCAGTGTTAAATGCCAGAAATTAAATCCTCCAAAAAGCTTTGGTTTCCAGCCTTCATTCTATTTCAGGAAATTGTAAAATCGTTTGTGTGGATCTAGCCAATAACATTAACTTAAAACACTGTCCTTTCAGTAGTCTGTCCTGTAGGTACAAATGTTTCTGTGCTTGAAGGTCAAATACTGAAAATGTCTATGATTTGTTACTTTAGAATGATCAAAGATGCTAATGTGAAAATTCCTTTTTTTTACATAAAATCAGTGAACTTCTATGGACATGATGTATGGCCTTCCTGTTTTCTATGGTATTAATTACAAAATATTTTGGATTTTTTAATATTGTACCTGGCTTTGCCTCTAGGTGCATTGTTTTTCCTCCTCCCTACCATGGGCATATCTCCTGTTAAATAAACTATTCATTTAGGCTCCTTAGAAAGTTTTAAACAGCCTGTATAAACATAGAGATCATATTCTGTGAAGAATTACTTATCAATACCAGACTTTAAGAAATGCTTTTGTAATACTTTCTGCACTCTACTGTATTTTTCAAATTAGTGTGCTCAAAGAGATCCTTCTCCACTAGCAAAGCAGACAACATCGTCATAAATCCAATGCAAATCCATGAGAAGTAATTTTACCTTTTTTAACATCATCACTTTGTCATATCACTGACGTGTGATTATATGCAATTATTGTAAACGAGTCCAGGAGGTTCTCTCTTGACAGGAAGACTTGCTCACACTGTTCTTCAAATGCTTGCTCACTTGCTAGAAGTGTAGTTTCTTTTTCAAACGCTGGAGGGTGCCTTAGACTTAAAGATCACAATGATTGTGTTGCCTACATTTTTTGTAACTGGTGATTTTTTTTTGAACTGGTATACTATGAATTTTCAGATGTGTGACTTTGTTAAATAAAAATCAAATTTTAAGTATTAAGGATTTTGTGTTTATTTTTTGTCTATGTACTTGAATAAAAAAAATTTGTTTACTATTTCCAGTAATGTGAGAATCTAGTGCTGGAATCCATAAAGTTGACAGGTTCACTTTCAAAGTTAGTTCTACTTTTTAATTTCTAATTGACACTCTTCCTTGTCTTGTAAAGAAAACGGCGGTCATGTTGCTGTGGGGTTGTCATGGTTTAAAAAGAAACTGCTTGGGTGAGTTTTCTTTCTACTAAATCAAAGTGTAAAGAGTAAAAGTGTAAAGAGTAAAACAAAAGGTAGAACACTTTAAAAAACATTTATGAACCTGATAACTTAAGCTATTTGAGTTGATTTTTGTCATTAGAAAGATCACTCTTTTCAAGGTAAGAAGCATGAATTTTGTGATTATTAAAAAAACTTATTTAGCATTTTTGTTTTGCTATATAGTCATTACTCTTAGTGTTCATTGTCTGTATTAGACTGAGAAAATGAATGATACTTAAAGCTTAATGTTTCAATTTAATTTTTTCTAGCACAATTTGTCTATGTGCTTTAGTGTGAAGTACTCTAGAAAAAATCTGTATTTTAGTAGATATCTATAGCAGAGGTGAGCTCAATATTGCTCTCTTAAATATTTTTTTATGTTGAGTTCCATTTGCCTTTTTATTGCCTCAAAACCATTTTAAAGGTTATATCTATTCAGTGGAAAGATCAAGTACCATTTTTTTAGTAAAAAGTTTCTTAAAATTTTTATCTTAATCTCTCTTCGTGGCAAAAAATGCTATGTGAAACAGATGCGTGAGATGAGCATATTTTAATTTATCCAGCATAAAAAGACTGCTGGAAATCAAAACAGTGTTTACAGGTTCAGCCCTGGTTCTGTACGCCCAAGAAAAGGGGGTGGGAAGAGGCCATCCTGGCATTCTGGCAAAGTCCTGCTACTGATTTTAGTGCACCCAGTTTTCACTAGGGAAGTCAATGGAATTATTTAAACACAAGTACTAATATGTTTCTGTGAAACCCAAATGCCCATAAAAATTAAAAAGGGAGACGGGAGGGGAGGGGACTCTAGCTTTCATCTGCCTTCAACTTGGGCCCAGAACTTGTAGTTGGCTTTGTATAAGGAAACTTCGATTATATCCTGTGTTTTGTCCAAACCAGTCTTTTAAAGGGAAGGTATTAGCCCAACTAAAAAGGAAGGCATTTAGAAACACTGTTTGTTTTTATGATAATCTTCAGGCAGAGGATCCCCTCCTGTCTCTCTATGTGTTAATTATTCTTACAGTGGTGGGGACTTGCTGTTAATGATCTTTACTACTGAAGAGTTGGCTCAAATAGTTTAGTACAAGTTTAAAATAAGGTAGCAAATCTGAACGTGATATGTTGATATATCTTGATATAGAGCATTAGCTAAGATTGAGAACTGTTACAAAGAAATGGACCTTCTTCCCCTGTTGATCAGAAAAATCTGTCTCTAAATTCTTATTTACTTAAGCTGTGGAATGCGTGATGAAAAGAGTATGACAAATTATTTTAAAACCAGGATGGCACTGTTTTACCTTGCATCTGGTTTATTTAAATAGTTACATTATTGATATTCCAAATATGTTGTTGTTTGGAGTGAAGCTATAACCACTATTTCTATAATAATTTAGCAGTTATCCAACACTTTTAACACTAATACACTTTCAAAACTGCTTTTGCAGAAAAGAAGCAATGTTATGTCTGGCACTGAGCTTTCAAGTATTCAATCCATAGTTCTCCCTCACTGCAGTTTAAATGCTTCTCCCTTCCATCCACGAAGATAAACCTTAATGCACAACTAAAGACGGAAGTCCTTTATATCTTGTAAGTGCTACTGAAGTATTTATATCAGTTATTACATATTTACACAATTATTTATTTTGCTACTACTGTGCCTAAATGATCATGACCTGTGTCAAGGCTTGGATAGGAAGCACTAGCCCCGCTATTGTTAAAGACAGAACTGTAGAAAGGCGGCTGCATACTTAGATCTCATTTCATTTGTTTCTCCAGGGCGTTGTATTAGTAGTGTTTTCATTAGAAATGTTTTTACAGATGTTGGCTATCCAGATATGAAGTCTCTGTGGTGGAGAAGCAGTCAGGATTTTGGCATTCAGAAGAGAAAGAAAAAAGTCAACTTTAAGAGACTAATTTATAGAAAAATAATTTACTGACTTTCTGATGTATAAACGTACAGTAACCCCCTGGCAGCTTTAATGCAGAGTAGTTGGATTCTTGCAAGTATGTCTATTTTCTATTCTTAACTTGAAGAGACGCTACAGCCTGTCATTCCCCTTCACTGAAGACTAAAATAGTCCCCATTAATAATGCTTCTGGAAAAGTGACACCCACTACTTTGTAGTCCAGTATGTGGGGGTTTTTTTCCCACCTCAAGTGAAATACTTGTCGTTTGACAGCATTTTAAACAATTTGTGTATCACTAAAAATTTTTCTCTAACAATATATAGAGAGAGTAGATGATTGTGGAAGTGTAGTGTTACTGAATGTTTGCCCAAAGTGTTTTGATGCAGTTACCAAGACGTAACTGCATTGACAAAATAATATATCATCAAAATTTAGAATGGGTTTACAGAGGCAGATGGAGTCAAGTAGGACAGTCCACAGCCTAATATTGTTTAACAGTTACTGTGTGTTGCTCATAGCTCTAACTGTACTCTGAAAAAACCCTGTAAATATTGCTGTTGAAGGACTATGATTTACTATGACTATCATAAGTTTTGGTTTACAAATAAAAATGTAAATAGGACAACAAAATTCAATCATTAGGTTTTGGGTTGAGCAGGCAATCAAGCTAGTAAATGTTTTGTAGCATTTAGGTTTAAGTGGTAATGGTAAGTTTTCAACGTTTTCATATTTGTTTAATAATTTAGCATAAGTGAAGGGATTTTTTTATTTTGTTTTTCACCTCCAGGGGTACAGAAAATAATTTTATTGATCTCACGTTAGGAAATGTTGGTTGTACAGTACATCAGACCATCAGTATGTTCGCCTGAGAAGGCTATTTTTGGCAACAAGATATTACTATTGTAAGACAATAGGTCATCCAGATCAGGGCTGAACGTGAGCTATTTGCTTTATCATC